GCATCCTGCCCTTTGGTCAGTAGGGTGTGGGGGCTTTCTAGTTTGAGGCATTTACCGAACCTTCCTCGGCCTGCTTCAATATGAGGCTGGGTTTACATCAGGGACCGGTCTAGCTAGTTATTCTGGTAGACCATCATTTTTAAAAGGCTCTTTCCGGGAAGGGTGAACAATCCCCCATGCCAGAACCGAAACCTCCTTTGAAACGCGCGCGTCCTGCGCACTTGCTTGTGGTTTTTGCTGCTAGCACCATCATCATAGAGGCAGCCCAGGAAGAGTACAGTGTCCCGAGTCTCAAGGAGTACAAAACAGCGAACAGGACGCTGTGTTACACAAGCGCGGTACCATGACGTGGCACCCCTCCAGTTTTCTGGAGCTGACGGGACACGAGCAAGCCTTCGTACTGGATGCACATTCCAACATTCCGATATCGTGCGAAACCGCCCGAGTGGTGATGGCACTCGCCAGGTCGATTCCCAGCCAGTCTTTGCAGGAGGTTTTCATTTTGGGCGATCTCGCAAGACCGCACCACCGCTGGACAAATCCAAACCGAACACTTCCTCCGAAGTACCAGGTCCTGACTGAGCTGACGTTCAGGAATTCTAACCACATCGTGTGAGTATTCGAGGCTGATGGCCTCAGAGAGGAATTTACGCAGCAGGCTTGGTTATAATGTCCTCACCGAAGCCTTTCAAGACAATTGAATCCCGAACCCAAGACCCCTAAATATTCTACACTGTTGCTCAAGCCTTCCCTGGCAAGGTCAGTGGTTGCTGGCCGGCAAGAAGGCTGCCACCTCTGCGGAGCAAAGTGCAAAAGGACGTCTACATTGGCTTACTCCCACCAAAGCCTGGGAAGCCGGCTCCATCAAGAATAGGCATGTCGTTGAGGATGCATGTGATTCTTTTCAGAAGCTCTCACGTAGTTACATTCAGCTAGTATATGCCAGTATTTGTGCCTGTAACTGCATTCTGAATCCTGAAGTTTCTTTTTAGGGTTTAGTTGCCCGGATCGCGACCGTATTGTGTCGGGTTCAGTTGAGGCTCGGGACTCCCTTCGAAAGCCAAAGGGAGCCCCTCCCCCTGTGAAGCTGTGGGTTCCATACGAGGAAGAGGATATCGGTTGCTGGGCTTGGCGATCGGAGGAGTAGTCAGATTCTGATCGGATAGAGGTTGAGATTCGCTGCCCGTCTTAGATCCGCGAAACCAAACCATAGCTGAGGCCCGAATGCTAAGAATTTCTAAAGTCCCTAAAGCCAAAGCCTCCAAAGCCTACTTCGTGTCGGCCACTGATCTCTCTCGCTGGCGACCGCTGCCGGGCCCGAGCTTTGACACGGTGGCGCCGCCACAGTGCCCGTCATGGCAGCTTGGTGCACGTAGGGCCGTCGGGCCGTAGGGCAGGTTGCGCGGGAGTTGAGGCTAAGGCGGCTAAGGGCTGGTCGAGGGCTTTCGAATCGAGTTCATTGAGGCTTCCGCGAGTTGAGGTTTAGTCGGTGTTTAAGGATTGAGAGGTGGATTTGTGGCTGTAGCATTGCAGACAGAACTCGGGATCGAGCCTTGTGATCTTTAATTCCTATGTCTCAAACACCTACGCAACGATTTACCAAGCAAAGTCTCTGTGCAAACCCACCTCTGGCCCCTTGATGCAGTATCTAAGTTGAGCTTCCCTCAGCTCGTATCCCCCACCCCGCACACGAAGGCAGAGGGCCCGAACTAAGTGGCCGAGGAGAAGCAGTGCCCTAGGCCCGACATGGGGTTTTTGGGCAGCATGGGTGCCGTGACCGCTTGTACGCAGATTGCTTAACAGCGGCACAGTTCCTACAACTGAAGCATGCTTCATGTCTGGAAGGCTTTGGGACAACTAGTTCCAAATCCGCATCCTGGCCCCTACCTTGCGACAATTGTAAATCCATCCGGATATGCTCCCCTATCCCCACCTTCAAGTCCTCTGTACAGAAGGTTCCGCACGACAGACCCGGATAATATACCACATATACCACGAGCTTCCAAAACATACACACCAGTATTCCTTGAGTTACCACCTCCCCGTCCCCAGTCAAAAGTTAAAAGCAGCAACGCACATGCATATTGAGATCATAAACAGTTGGCGCCCGCACAGAGACAGGCCTGGCAACTCGGTATCCGTGCTGCCCTCAGACCTTTTCACTGCAGCGTTCGGGACCTTGGATTTCCCGACTTGGATTGAGAGTTGAGGGTTTGCAGATATTGGCTTGTGCGGTGCCTGACCACTGAGCACAAAGACTCACATCCTGGAATCAGTTCCCGGGGTCCGCATGCTTTCACCTCGAGGAGAAGTGGGAGGCACTAGCTGTGATGGCCACGAATGGCGACGAGGATAGCGCCAAGTGGCTCTACGTGAGGACTGGATGGCCAAGTCTCAATTGGGCACTGAAGCCTGTCCTAACCATAAGGCCAGACACACAGGAGTCTGAAAACGCAAGAATCCGCGAGCCGAAAAATGCCCCATTTGCCCTATTGACTTCGCGCTTGGGGTCCGACTAGAAGCCGGACCAAAGCCATTCTCAGTGCGAGGAACTTGCCCGAGGATGCGAAAAGCCTGGGCCCCAGACCTTGGCTGGCCATGGGCCTTGATGGCCTTGTGGTGCTCATCGTAGTTTACATTGTTTGCAAGCATGCAAACAATGCACAACACATAGGTTTGGTATTGCCTGTGGTCCTTCGACACGCAAGCGGTTGTTTAGTAAGTTTAGTTTCATGCAGGAAACGGCCCAAGTAGATCTCTGAGTTTTCGCTTGTGTAACTAGTGGAATGCATGTGGCTCGTATTCAGATGTTTTGATGGCCTGCAGCAGATGTTGCAGGCGAGGGCTTTGTTTCTTAGTCGACAAGGCCTTTGCTCAGAACCTGACTACTCACTAGTGTTTTTGTTTGCAGCATGTCGAGTTATGTTTTTCTATAGTAGAACGTCAATGGTATTGCAGCGCAGCAGTTTTCTATGCCGGAAGAAAGGCCAGGTCACCTCCAAGCTCGTTACTGCGCCCTGAGGCTATATATGGTTTAAGCAATTCCACCTCCATGGCGACGTTGTGCGAGCTTCCTTCTTCGGATGGAAGAAGGGGCAAGAACGCCCTGGCCCCGGCCGGGTTATTACCGAGGGATTTTGGGGGCTCGGGCAAACTCTGCGTTACTGGTAGTGTAGTTGTCAAGCTTGCCGTTGCCAGTTTTATAGGACACATAGGCAGATGTTCCTCAGCGGAGTCTTCGGGGCTGGGCCAAGGCGTTGCTGTACCCGAACCACGACACCGGTGTTCGGAGGTTTACACCGTTGGTTTGCTTTGGTAGCAGAGCGTTGCAGCCTGATGGCCGAATTCATTGAACCTCACGCCAGACCAAGCTCAAGTGCCTGCCCAATGAATCTTTAACCCTGAAATATAGGGGTCTAAAGGTTATTCATATTGTTCTTTGGGAGGTTCCTTATTAAAGTATACTATAAAAGGCCTATGGAAGCTTAAACATCCCTCAACCCTGCACAGGATGGTGTTTGGCAGAGCCCTGCTCCCAGCTGTAAGGTTCGTGAAGATGGGCAGTTTCAAAGGCTAATGCGGCTAACGGCGAAGGGGTGTTTCGGGAGATTGAGGACCTCGGGGAAGGTTTTCTTCAGTCTGACTTGGTCCAATCCTCTGGAAAGCCCCAAGACCCAAGCCACACAAGGGAAAGCCATGACTGCTGAGCCTATGCTTCCAAATACCCTGTTCCTGGAGTTTGCCTAGACGAACCCTAGGTGACTCAGATTTCATAAGGTTGTGCTGAACAGGGATCCATCAATATTTATCATCGGCGGGTGCATGCCGGGCCGAAACTGTTCCAGCAAGGGTGGGGGAGAACACTCGTACAGTTGGATTCGGAAGGCACATGATGAAGCTTTCGCAACTCTGCGGCCGAGAAATGCCCGTGTATTGGAATGAAGAACTGAGGCAGTGTTGACTGTCAGGCAGAGTGCGTATCGCGATAAGGGCACAGTCGTCCCAGACAAGCTTCAGATTTTGCTCTGTGGTTGGGTCTAGGTGTGGCACCAAGTGGGAGGCCATCTCTCTCAAGAAGGAGCGGTTGACTGCTTGGAACCCTATGTCCATTTACGTTCAGGCCATTTCTACTCCACAGCAGAAGCTGCCGGGCCTGACTTGGGACTTGCCTCCCAATTTTGGGATTCATAGTTCCAGTCCCGGAGCTGGGGCCTGCTGTAGAAGATTGTGGATGTTTTTTACAGGCCACCAGCTTCGCAGGTTAGAGGATGAGGGGGTGTTGGATTTCAGCCTTGCCGCAAAGATGCATCGGCGGTCAGGAGCTTGACGGCAAAGACCTTGGTGGCGACAACCCCCTGTCGGTGCAGACCCCAGTCGGGAGGCATCGGTTCCAAGCATGAACTTTGGGTTTCGGGGCTTTCGGGGTTTGGCGGCTTTCGGACTGAGGGGTTTTGCACGGTTCGGGTCTGGGCCTGTCCCTAGGATCCAGAGCAAGAAAATCTTGCTGTTTCAACAATGCCAGCCCGACCAGTCCCATTTTTTGGAGTAGTAGCACGAACCTTAATGTTGTTCCCTCTCCTCAATGTTCCACTCGAGATAAGAGCAGAATGTGGTTGACTGTGATGAGGGTCTGGCGATTCGATACAAGTGACTTAAGGTTTCGCCTGGGTTCGAAATTCCTTTTCTCAACAAGGCTCCATGCTTTCTCCGCTGTCATGGGTCCAGCTGCGGTCTAGTTGTCGCCCCTCAAATCGAACAGCAACAAAGTAATTAGGACGAGCAGGATGAACGCGAAGACTAGTCGAGCATGCGAGAGCCGGTCGCAGCCATTTCGCCCAAGCAGGCGTTGGGGAGCAAATTTCTTATCCGTTTCGGTTCGAGATACAGGATTTGGACCGATTCCGGTTGCAAGGAGAGTGTCACTGCGACGAGGGACAGGCATTCCGGGTGCGTGGCTCAGGGTGTAAGAAAAGTAGAGTCCTTTGCTTGGACCGCCTTCCATGTCGGATGTCGAGACAGACTCCGTCGAGCAAGCGGTGGCAGATCTCTTCCTTGCCTCCACGGTCGGTCGTTCAAATCCCTCCGATTCATATGACTGTGGCGGCCTGCCTGAACCCAGCTGTTATCTTCAGAATCGCCACAGCCCGCATCCAGTGCAATTATATTTCAACAAGAAGTTTGGGATGTGGCGTTTGGCTTGCTTCAATGAATATTCAGTAAGCTTACAAGCGCGCTCTGACAGCCCCAAGTTCGCTGCTTCAAGGCTTTGGAAGTGAGAGAACTGGAGCCTGGAGGTTTCTCTTGTATCAGGCAGTCACGAGCCCTAAGCCATGTTCCCTTCCTCATGTGGCTAGAAACCCGGTTCGTTGAAGGCTCGGGGACAGAAGGGTAAGCCACCTCCTTTTGTTTGAGTTTCAGGCGGTTGAGAAATGTCGTTCATTTCCTTGGCAAGATGTTTCAATAAAAGGGCGAGTATCCCCAGTTGATCCTCCAAGTCCTAGCACGGCCCCAAGACGTTTGAGGTTTCCAGTTGGAGACCTTTCGGGCAATTCACCCCGGTGTCATTCGCGCAGTCCCGGCCTACAAGGCGCCTTGGGAAATTGGCAGGGATCTCTAGCAGCGTTCTGCCGCAGTTCATGGCGCGTATCTCTTTGCTGCCGTTGGAGGTGCTCGTCGGCCGTGGGCGAGCGCTCAGAGGGCGAGCAGAGGGTTTGCACAAGGCCAGTTTCGAGACCGAGACGATTGAGGAGAATTGCCCACGTTTTGGGGTGTACGGTTTTGAAATTATTTTTTGGTCCGGTGGAAGATGAAGAGTGAACACCAGCGGGCATTGATTTCAGGGTTGAGGGCGACAAAGTTGCAGGTCAGGCATCTTGAGGCTGGAGTGTTGGCCTTAGCGCTTTTCACTTGGCACGATTCAGGAGTTCTGGTCTCACAGCTGGCATGCGCCAGCCTGGATGAAGATTGTCACTCTGACGTTCGTCAACAACTGCCGCACAGCAGCCTCGTTGGGTATGCTCGCGGCAATCACTGGGTTCACCCTGGGCGTGGCAGAGGTCGCTCACCGACAAAGCGAGAATAGTAGTAGTTCACGCAATAGGCCAGGAGCTAGTAGCTAGTAGCTCATAGCTGCATAGCTAGTAGCGAGCAGCTCTTCAATAGAGCAGCAAGGCCAAGGTAGCTGGTATCTAGTAGCTTGGAGCTAGCAGGTACGTGCAGTTGTAGTGGTGGCCAGTAGCTCGTAGCCAGTAGCTTCTAGCTCGTAGATAGTAAAAATATAGATAGTAGCTGGTAGCCAGCACCCTGTAGCACCTAGTAGCTAAAGGCTTGCAGCTGCCAGTAGCAAGTACTCAGTAGTGGGTGATCGGTAGCAAGTGGTAAGTCTCAGGTGGTAAGTATCGAGCTGCTGCTGTTGACGGATTGCAGCCCTAGGCCCTAAACGTTGTGGCTGACCAGTGGTCGTGGGACATGTCAGTCGCACCCCTGATGTCTCTACATATTGCTTATGGCTTCCTTGCTCACATGTGGTGTATGATTAAGTTCATAGAGCTCATGTTCGCTGGGCACTGCCAAGACTTGGCAGGCATTGCCACACAAGCTCGCACCGCGGATTCGTTGTCCATGGTGTGCGCTGCTCGGGGCATTGGTCTATATTGCATGTCTCCTCTTCTGGCGGCGGTCGAGCAAGGTATTCCTGGACATAATTTGCTTCTTGGCACAGAAGTAGCTAGTGGGCTCCGAACGGAGCAGTACAGGGCTTCGGCCTGAACCTGACTTCCAAAATTGTCGGTCTAGGCCTAGCGGCTAGAGATCATACGGCGACGGAGCTACAGGAAGCGATCTCCAACTCCTTTCTGAGAACAACCCTGAGACTTCAACCAAAGAGCTTCATGAAACTGAGGATGTTGAGGACATCGTTACCACCAAGTGGGTTTAACACAGAGACGGCAGGCGAAATAAGTGCTTGGTATGTATGGAGTCTCAACCAAAAGTGAGCCAGCATGACACAGACCTTGTGACGCAGATGCCTCATTGTCTACCCTCCACCGACACTGCCATCCTCGCAGCAGCAGCAGCAGCAGCGGCGGCGGCGGCGGCGGCGGCGGCGGCGGCGGCGGCGGCGGCGGCGCTGCCACGCACGGCCAAGAGCAACAATAATCGCAAGAGTGACAACACGATCCAAGCACGGACCCAAAAGCTTTGCCTGATTCCGGGTCCAGAGTCCAATGGGTTTCGGCGTTTCGGCTGTCTGAGGTATAGATCAAGATGATGTGCATTTGAAGAAGGCTGCACTGACGAGCATGGCGGCAATCCTGTCTCTTTGGCAAATGTTCGGAGAGGGGATGGTTTAAGGTTTAGGCGCGCTGACTGCTTGTGTGTCTGTGTCGGTTTGTGCGTGTTTGTGTGTGTTTGTGTTTGCGGGTGCTTTGGGGTTTCGGGTTCAGGTTTATATGGGTTGGATGATTGTGAGGATGCGGGTGAGGATGATGATGATGATGATGATGATGCTGATGAGGAGGGTGATGATGATGATGATGATGACGATGATGACGATGATGATGACGATGATGACGATGCTGCTGGCGGCGCTAGCCGCCAGCCACGACAGCATAATGCAGCACTGAGACTACGTACTAGATACACACACCAGTTGGTACGCGTGGTGTTCTCCAACGTGCCGCTCCTTGAGGAAACAATCGGAGGCATTGCTCGTCGTGTGGGATGCAACATGGGACGCCAGATTGTGCTCAGGCTTGCAAAAGTTATCCTTGGATGCAGTTTCGGTTCGCTTAGCTTGAGTATTGCCGAATAGTGCAGTCGGATGTCCATAAGAGTTCATGGAACTTGCTATGCACACAGACCACAACCACAACCGCAACAACAACAGCAGCAACAGCAACAACAATAACGACGACAACGACGACGACAACGACGACAACGACGACAACGACGACAACGACAACCAAGGTGGTGCGTTTTCGAGCTTGCAGCCTTCTTGCAATCTCGTCGCACTGGGTCACGGGCGACTTGGAGGGCGTTCAGGTTGCTATGCGGCTGAGGCTAGTCTGGTTTGAGAATGTTTGGACTTCTTCCCCTTGAGGCAAAGCTGTGCGTGCGTCCAATCACGCTGGGGCCCGCGCTGCTGTCGGGCAGCTGCGGCCTTTTAGTGGCCAGCCTTACTTTGTCCACGAACGTCGTGCAGAGCTACACTGACTTTGAAGCGACCATAGCATTAACCATGGTGCTCTCATTTTGCTGCTTGCTTTTCGCAGCACACCTGGGCCGCATCTTCTGTCGCAACCTGGACATGCTCCAACGGCAGCTATTGCAGTTTAGTATAGAGCACGCCAAATGCGCCTGCTGTGAGACGGACGATTGCAAACGGGTCGATCCCAAGACGGGCCACCAGTTTGCGTGTGACCGAGAGGTCCTCCTGCAGGTCATTGCGGCTTGGTTTGGTAGCATCTCCAAGTTCGAGGCTTTGATCCATGGCGAGGTGAGAAGAATTCTGTTCTGTGAACTCACCAGTGTACGCTTCATTTACGGGTATGTGTGTGCCGCCACCATCTGCTTACTGTGGTTTCATATGGATCAAGCTATGGATGCCATCCGTGCTGGAAGGGTGTCAGCGAGTGAGGGGCGAGTAATGGCGTTCCGCTGGTTGGTTTGGTGGTTGGTCCTCGAACCTCTCCTCTTCATCGTCTTCGCTGGCTTTGCCTGGGCACTGCGCAAGCGCTGCGGAAGATACCTGGTTGTAGATCTTCTTGTAACGGCGCTGGCCATGACTCCATCAGCTGCAATTTTTATTGGCTGCTGAGCTGTGCTTAAGCAACTAGTGCCTCGCGTGTGAACGATACTTACTCCAGATAGCCTTCTCCCTCTTCAGCACCAGACCTGCCCATCATTTTACAAGTAACAGCTTGAAGCCGTACACTTAACCGCTTTTCCGGATTCAGACACTGTAAGTAGCTGTACCAGTTCCCCTTATTCGACCATGTCGGAGTTGTTGTCGTCGTCATTGTGGTGGTAATCGCAGAAGTAGTAGAAGCAGCAATAGTAGCAGCAATATTCGGTGTAGTAGGTGGCGGTGGTGGTCGTCGTGGTGGTGGTGCTGGTAGTGGTGGTGGTCGTAGTAGCGGAAGTGGTAGTGGTAGTGGTAGTAGGAGGAGCAGGTGGAGCAGGTGGAGGAGGAGGAGGAGGAGGAGGAGGAAGGGCAGGAGGAGCGTAGGAGAAGAAGTACGATGCGACAGCCATTTCCAGAGCTGGCACCGGTGTAGTGCATTTATATGTGTTGGTTTTTTGGTGTGTATTTTTGAGAGCAGGCAGAATTCTGTTTTTCTTGGTCCTATGCTGCCCAAGTCTCAACGTCTTGACAAATCCAAGGCTTCAGCATACTGGAGCAACGCCTGGATAGTGCACGCTCTGTCACAGGCGGACTCATCTTCGCAGCTGTTGCGGGGACCAGCTCTCTTTGTGCCTGGCTTGCCGTTTGCAAGTTCCTTCCTCGGGGCCTGCCAAAGTTCTCTTGAGTAAGGTTTACGTGCGAGCCGCATGGCCCAGGACAGTGGTAATCGTTCAATTTGAGACTGATGTACATTTCTCTTGCTCATTTCGTTGCGGCAAGATCTCTGCGCCTCATGCGAAAACCAGCCTTGTTGGCAGACCATGATTTGTCTTAGTTTAGTGCTTACATCTTGCAAAGCCTGCAGTGGTCACCCTCACCCTGCATACCTTGTTTTTGCGTGTATGAAGCGAATGCCAGACTGTATTCCATAGTGCTGTAAACCCCAACCTGCTAGATATCCTCCGAAACTCCAAAATCCCCAATGCGAGTGGAACAAGGGGTTCCAGAAGCATGGTCCAGGATTTCTCGTTGTTTTGGGGTGTGATACAAGGCCAGACCAGGAAAGCGTGAGCCATAAGACATGCGAAGGTAACCTAGATAAACCCTACAACCCTACAAAACCCAGGTCTTGAATGCCTCCGACTTTTGATACGTTTTGTAGAATCTTAGCTCAGCCAGCTCTTCGAAGAGCATGGAATGCTCCACCGTAGCCCTCGGGGTCGAAGGAGGTTCGAAAGGAGTTCGGGAGCTGCTCTGAGCAGAGCTGAAGCAGGACGTCGACGACGACGAGGATGATGGTGGTGGTCATGATGATGGATCATGGATGGTGCATGGCGGGTGATAAGCGTTGAATGGTTTCCAAGTACCCGGGATTTTTCTTTGCAGTGTCGCGCTTGCGACCCAGTCCGTGGACATGGATGCTTATGTGGCACCGTGTCCTTTTTCGGGCCTTCTTGAGAGAATCATTCTCTAAAGTTAGGGCTCGAACAGATGATAACGCATTTGACAAAAGTTGTGGATCTGACCACACCGAATGAAGCCTCACATCCCGTTGGCAAGGAGCTGCGGACCCTCAAAAACCTTAGAGCCCAAAGGTCAAGACCGTCACAAACAAGGAGAAGGACGAGCTAGTCGCCAAGCAGGCTGAGTGGAAACAACGGCAGTCTTTTTTCCTTGACCTTGTCGGGCTCTGCCAAGAGCTTTGATGGCCCCCAAAAAAGCCAAAGCAACCTGGGTTCATTCTCATTCACTCGGGGTATTACAGAGCTCTGCGGTCTGCCTCACCAGGCCAGACGAGACTTCATTCAATGCGGGTCGAGTTGTGCAAGAGGGGGAGGTTACTGGTTTTGGGTGGTGTTCAAGAGTTTAAAGCATCATTGAGTTTCCATTGGCTGTCGGCTTCTTTTCGTGGCTTTGTAGATGTGGAGGTTTCTGAACTGCCGATACCCGGATAGTCCCGTTGGATTTGATCTGCAAACCGCGTGGAACCACTACATTGCACGAGAGCATTCAATTTAAGGAAGCAGCCCACAAACCGTACAACCTAGCGAATCCCAGCAGCATCCTTCCGCATCCGTCCGATGCTTTAACAGTTCCTCGCAACTTTTCGTTCGCCTTAGGACTTGAAAGTTTGGGGTGAGCTCACGCGATGTGCCGTAGGGCTGAAAGCAGCCGGTCGCACAATGCAGGATTGCGAGGAGCTAGTATGTTTGTTGTATTAGAATCCCTACGCGAGTCGAATCTAAGTTGTGGTGCTAAGAAACCAAGCCTGTCGGCCCGTATGTAAAATGGGATGTTGGAATTGGTGTGGCGTAGTTTTGAATCTGGGGGCGCGACTTTGAGTCCCTGTCCCAAGCTCTGCCTGAGTGCTGAAACACCCAAACAAGTGACATGCAGCCTTCCTCGCAACTCCCCACGTGTGCTGCACTTTACCCTGCGGCATATAGGGCCTATAAACCGAGCCCTAAACCCTGAAGCTCTTGAACACGCCCTTGGTTCGCTTCGAGCGTCCAGGGCGATAAGGGCGATGCTGGCTCGGAAGACACGTCAAAAGACAAGAAGGACCAGACGTGAGCTTAAGGTTTAGGGTTTAGGGACTCGTGGCTCTAGGAATCTTTCAACTTCAAGTGCCTGGGGCAATGGTCACTTAGGGTTCGGGCTTTTTCTCATTCGATTCCCAAGTCTTCGTGCGTTCTGGCATGAGATCCTCTGAACCTCGGTCTATAGGTAGTCGGCTCAAACTCCTCGGCGTGATGATGTTTCACTCTTGAAATTCATCCCCGATCTACCTGCTGTACATACAAATCCCGCGGGGCCGTGTTCAAATGGTTCGGGCCCCTCTATACTAGGCGGCAGAGCTCCTGGATCTTTAAGGCTTCTGCTTGAAATCCGAGGTCCTATCCCAGTCCTCTTAAATTCCGCCCACAGGATTGTAAGTGCCTAGAGTTCTCGACTCAAGGCCGCCCCGAAATGCAGAAAAGGAGTCCAATCTCTTTTTGGTTTTGGTGAACTTATTTCGCATCGTTCCCTGAAGCCTGCACCAGCTGAGTCCCGATATCTGAAACTCTGACGCGCACAGGAAAAGGCTGACAAGGACAAGCGAAGCCGTGGCTCGATCCAATCACTACCACTATCAGCGACTATGAGGGCTCAGGGGCTCCCGTAGGCTCCTGATTTGGAGAGATGAAGCCCTTAAGGCCGCATGGCCAGGCGTTTGCCGTTGGGGGTGTGCTGTCAAGGGCGTTGAAGTCTTGTCAACCAGGTCCCGAGTTCGAGCCAAGGTACGGCAAAGCAAGTAAGCACAGGTGCGGCATGTAATAATCAAGGAGGAACAGGGAGATCGAACTCCTCACCCCTTTCGGGTTTAACATCGCCTGCCAAGGAAGCGGCAGCAAGAAGTCCAAGCGCAGCCAAAGCGGCAGCAAGCGAAAAAGAAGCAGCAGCAAGCGCAAGCGCAGTCGTAGCGGCAGCAAAAGGCAGCTTGGTTGCATCTGAGGAAGCCTTCGCAGAGTCGTTTCGCCTCCTCTCAACCGCTACAAGGCTACAAGCATTTCTGTTGCGCTTTGTCGCTCAGCCCCAACACACTGGACACGTCCCCAGCCCAGACCCTCAACCACACTTTAGTAGCTATGGCCCCTCAGACCTTTATGCGTCAGGCTCTCACAAAAAAGTATCCATCCACCAACAAAATATGCACCGTCTTTTCTTTCTCATGAAGGAAGCGCAGCCGCAGCGGCAGCCGGCGCAAGCGCAGCCGGAGTCGCTCCAAGCGAAAGCGCAGCCGAAGCTCCGCGACAGCGATCAAGAGGGGTAGGTCTCAGGTAGGTCGGGTAGGTCTGATGCCTTGTCTCAGGGGCTACAGCAGCCTTCCAAAAACCTCTGCTGCCCTGCAGCTTCCTGCATTGCCGTGTTTGAGCTTTCTGGTGGGAAGGCTTCAGTAAATCACTGGCTGCCAATCTGCACTGCATCGTCTTGATGGCTCATGTCTGTCCACTTCAATCATCCGCCTGTGCCCAAGCCCAAGCCCCCTGTTCTTTCGACCCGATCACCCTGCGCACCGTCTTGGTACTGAGCTCTCCACATGCTCCGACTGAGGTCGAAGTGGACGCAGAAGGAGAGGGTGCGGCATGTGGGTGAGCTTCCCATTAGAAGTCGACCAACTCGAAGTGTTCGATTTCACGTCCGAAGCGCTTCAACTTCACAGAGTTGCAATCTCAGGGCGAGGTTTTGGACGATGGAACTAAGACTGCCCCTTTCGAACTCCGGCCTTGTCGACTGAGTCCTGAGCCCGAAGCTTGTAATCCTAATCCATGGGTTCCAGGCCTCGCGGAGGGTCAACAACACAGGCTCGAGCAGAAGATCAACCAACAACAATGTAGAACGAACTAAACAACAGCTGTTAGTCATCAAGCTTGGCGAATCTTGGAGACGAACAGCTGTGGGGGACCCATGGTTTGGAATCACGGTTCGCCGCGTGGTTTGCGCAGGAGTAGGAAGAGATCGCGAAGCAGAAGAAAGGACAGTAGCAGCCGGGCTCCCTGTACTCTCGGGGTCAAAGGGTCGACCGACTCGCTGATTCAGGGTTCGGCTGGGATCTTGCATGTAAGTTAGGTCTTCTGCGGGGGAGGGGGGGGAGGGCAGGGGCAGGGCAGCAAAGCTGCAGTTTTCAGCGTGCTTGTTGCTTTCGCAAGAGTTCTGTTCGCTGTACCAGTGCACCAGTGGCATTTTTCTGAATATTCATCGCTCTATCTGCCAGCCGATGCATCTAGTAATCCTTCTGCTTAGTAGGGGATAACCTGATCATGCTCCTCAGTTTGAGGGTTGGGATGATGGCGATGGCACTGGTGATGGTGGTGACGGTGACGGTATGTTGATGAGAAGCACGACTATATATTAATGACAGCGAGAAGCAATCCTGATGAGCTTCCAGAAAAGGCCGTCTGTTTCCATTGTAACACTACAGTATGGTAAGCAGACTCGTGGAGCATTTCTGTTATTGAGCAATATCCCGGCAATCGCCTATCTCATAATTTCCGTAGATTCTTTCAGGTTTTGAGTTGGCCAAACAGTTTTTGTTCGGCTTTGTAGCTTTGAGGATGCCTTCGGGCGTTTGTTGTTTTCGGAGAGGTCATCGGTCTCGAAGCAACAACGCATCCTCGAAGGTTCCTTGCAGGTCTATCCCCAATCCCCCGGCCATCAGTCATTTCGGTTTACCATGAGGCCGCGGGCGTAGGAAGCGCAGCCGAAGCCGGCGGCGGCGGCGCAGTGTGGCACCCAGAAGTGTAAGATTTGAGGTAGCTTTTGAAGGCACGCTTACTTGGGAATGCAGGATCGGTCAGCAGATCTAGTAAGCTCGGAGGTCAGGAAGTTAGGAAGTCAGAAGCAGCAGGAACTCCAAAACCTGGCCAAGCGAGGCAGAAGCGGCAGTAGGAGTCGTAGCAAGAGCCGGAACCGCAAAGACAAGGACTGACGGAGGGCCGTGGTGTTTGGGTCGGTCAAGGGTCAATCTGGTTCAATAGGAGTTATTGAATGACTGAAAATCCAAATCCATATTGTTTTTCTGGTTTGACTGGTGGAAGTAGTAGAACGAGTCGTAATGCTTGAAGCTGAGCAATCTTGAGGCGTGCCCTGTCGCACCGTCAATATGTCTTGGCGTACAGAGCTGATGGGCTGAGGATGTGTGTT